TATATGAAAATATTCATGCAGAATTATACATATATTTTAGATTTATAAAATTGATAAATTTATTTTAAGCAAATTATTGAAATTGACTCAGAAATAAAATTAAATCCAACCCAAAAACCCCAATCAAACTGGTAAGGTTTCGCTGCTGAATGATAATGAACGATATATCAGTTATAAAGCCCATGCCGCACTGATATAATAAACCCTCCCTTCTCATTAATCCACTCATTCCCCTGTATACCTCGCCACCATATTCTTCTTCTTCTTCTTCTTCTTCTTCTTCAATAGTCTCAATCCCCGCCACTTGACCCGCCCGCTATTGTTAAACTCGCCATAAAACAACATACCGAGCCCAAACTCCCCTTCCCATGGCGCATCCCAGCCGGATGTATAGCCCCCGTTATCTCCGACTCCATAATCAAATGCCTTGCGCGCTGCTTCCACGGCCTACCGAGCTAACTCGTATTCTTGTCCTCGTCAGCCTCGAGCTCGTGATCCGCGACCACTTTACATTTATGGAGAACGAAAGCGGTGGTTTCGTTATTAATAGTTAAAACTTTGAGATGAGTAATTTAATAATTATTCATTGTTGGATCTGAAATTTTACTTTAGAAATTCACGCTCGAGAGTTAGAGTCACGAGAACAAGGCGTAGAGAGAGAAGAAAAGTGTTAGAAATTCTTAGGAGAGAGACCGACGAAGCATCTTTAGATCGGGGGTTATTTTAGTAATCATCGAGCATCCTATTTATAGGAGGCCCTTTTGTATAATTACAAAAAAAAAAAATAGCGATCATGAAAATAGCTCTCAATTACCAAAAGAAGAGGGTGACTAATAATGCAATCAAAGTGTGAATTTAATACTAAATTTATATCACAATTTGAATTTGGATATAGCGCTAATCAGTTAGTTGACATGTTCAGATTCGGTCGACTAAAGCAACCGACCTAGTGGAGATCATTTCTGCCATGGTATGAGCGATCAGTCGGTCAGTTGCATTCGGTCGGCTTTTAGGGAACTTTAGCAGTTGGAACCGTAGATAGGCCTACCGACTGGATTTGTCGAGGGTGGAATTGATCAGTCTATTGATCTTTAAGATGATCGATTCATATCATGTCTCTTGAATTTAATATATTGATCGTTGTGTCATCATCTTTAGCCATTTAATTGCTTTGAAATTTGTGACGATAATATTGATGTGTACATGAATGCATAAGAAAATTACTTAGAATATTCTCATGTTGAATTGAGAGAAAAGGGTAATTTTAGTTATAGGTATTGCCTGCACTGATAAAATTGGGTCAGAATAACTTCAATAATGTGTTTAAGATAAGTTTTAAAATTATTAGATTTACTTTTAACTGGATGTTAACCCCTTAACGATCATTTGCCTTTCAATCTTGATTAGAATATCATCTTTCCTTCTTCATATAGTTTCAATTATTATATATATATATATCTCACCACCATCATATATATATATATATATATATATATATATATATATATAGAATGAATTAAAAAATTTAATTAACACAATATTTTAAATTTTCTTATTTATTTTGTTTCTTTTTTAAAAATAAGTTAATTTAAAATATGTAGCGAGCTGATAGACAAATGATCCTCAAGAAGTGATGCGATCCAATAGTGACAAGTAAAACCTTACACAATGTGATACAATTGAAATTCATTCAAAATGGATAAAATTTCAAACGTATTATGATTTTTCGTAGTATATAAAATGCAAGTAGAATGCAACGCAGTGTACTCACTTGTCGCCAAACCAAAATAGCCTCTAATTAATTTTGTCAGTCAAAATCTTATCTGAAGACTTCTTTTTTAATCTTTTTGAACGAAGTCCAAAGTTCATCAGTCCAAATTATACCGAATGTTGTAGATAGAAACGTTCGAACTCCATCAACAGAGCCTTTAAAGCTAACCAAGATTTGTCCTTTAGAAATGTAAATGCATAAGAATTAAACTAATCAAATTTTATGGCAAAGGTTTTCTTTTAGAGATATATATCTGCCGACATACTTAATTGGCATGTTGGTTAGAGCCTCCGACATGGTTAGGAATCTAGGGCTGCTACCTAAGTTTTTGCTATATCACATAGTAATGTTTTGTTTATAACAAGAGTGGGAAAGGGAAAGAATGAAGTCCAGGATTTGAGTATTGCTCATGTTAATGATCCGATTTAGAGCCTCTCAAAATTGGTATTTAAAATTTTGGTTTGTAGGTTGGCTTGTTTATTTCGATCCGATCTAAAGCCAAAGATCAAATTAATGTTTGAGTGATTAACAATCTTCGAGCTAAATTCATTAAATTTACAGCACCATCATTACTAGGGTTGTTAACAATCTCATTTGAGCCGACGAGCTGGGGTCTACTCGAAATCAACTTCGATCCAACATTTTGGCTTGTAGCTCGACAGTTTATTTAGATTCGAATCAAAATACTATTCAATTTTCAAGCAATTAACAATCTTCGAGCTAAATTCACAGCCCAAGATTTAAGTTAAATATGTATGCATTTTTGTGGATTTAAGAATTTTTTATTTAAGTTAAATATGTATGCATTTTTGTGGATTTAAGAATTTTTCTTAGATGCATAGGCGGAACAAGTTTTATTATTGAGGATGGGCAAAATGGTCAAATATTTAATTTTTTGTTTTTATTTTGGTTTTTTTTTTTTGCTTTATTCTTTTTGTTTAATTGCGCATTTGAATAATATCTAGCTAAACTTAAACGTAATAATTTATCCATATATATAACTAAATTTCTTATCACTTGACTTATTTAATATTTAAAAATAAATAGTCATGTATTTCTCACCTGTAAACCAGGAATACCAAGCATCTTTAAAATACTAACAAATGTCTAATAATCGCCAACGAATTGCTCGTCGTCTCCCTCCCGCATTTAACGCCTTCTGCAACTTGAGCTTCAACCGGAAACCCGTCTATTTTTCAGCCACGTCCTAACATCATGCATATAAGCCACACAATTTTTCTGTATTTACATATTTAATATCTGAATTTTCATATGGATATTTCTCCTTTTTTATTTATGCATAAAAATATAATTCTCTTTTTAAACGTTTTTTTTTTTTGGGTGGAAAAGTGAGAGCTTGGCACAAATAAAAAGCAAAAAGAGCAAACAAAACTCTGCCCAAAACATCTATAAACAGATATGAATTGAAACAGCAACCAAAACAGCTTGAAAGAAAGAACAATTTGAATGTAGCATGCAGTAAGAGGCAACCACTGCAACAGGAAAAAGTAACTATCTTAAAGGAGTAGGCAGCAAGAGGAAGCAAGAATTCCATCCCTCTGAGAAGTAATAACCCGCAAAACAAAAGAAATAGCTGCAAAAACTATTCCAAAATATAACAAAAATTGTCTCAACTCCAACCACAACAGCTGACAGTAACAACAGTAGCAAAATAAACTTAAAAAAAGACTGAAGAAGAAAATGAATTAAGCTTGTCCTAAACCCAAAACATCACAGAGTAACTCCAACAAAAAACTAAAGAAAGATAATCTTAGTATAAACCTTAATAATAAATGTTTGAAATCAATTTTCCATCCAAACTTATTTGTAAGGAAAATTCCAAACTAGAATCTCTAGAAGCATCATAGCTTCACTAATAACATAGCAAAAAAAAAAAAAAAGGAAAGATCAAGATAAGTATCTGACTTATCAATAAAAATTAAAAGACTCCAACCTATTAGCCATAATGAAGCAGTTTTAAAAGGAAAACCACTAAACCCAGAAGCATTAAGGGAAACCCACCAGCCAAGAATTAACCACAAAAATAAGAACCACGGGACGCACCATTCTTAACCGCTGCAAATTCAACAATAGCCAAGGAAAAATCTCAGTATAAAACCTTAACAAAAAAAAAATGGTTGAAACTAAGTTTCCATTCAAATCTATTCGCAAAGAATATACCAAAATAAAAAAACCCGGCAAAATCATAGAGTAAGACAGAGAATATCATATCTAACCAGAGAAACATAGCCAAAAAAAGTAGACAAAACTAATCAAATCCTACTAACACCCAATATAAATATTTGATAGAATCGAAGATGCAATTCTTAAATTTCTATTTCCTACACTTATAACTAATTAACCAATGAAAATACCATCACGAAAACTATTGAAAAAATCACTATTTTTTTCATATTTTACATTATTGGACTGATTGCCTTCTCTAGTCACTTCAGCCTCATTAAAGTTTAGGATCTCACAAAATACATGGCCAAATAACTCTCAACTTAATGGGAAATTCGTAGAAAAATATTTAGTTTTTTAAGAAAGTCAAATAATATCTATATAATCTCTCTCTCTCTCTCTCTCTCTCTCTCTCTCTCTCTCTCTCTTTATAAATATATATAGTAATGGCAACCTTTCCCACACTCAACAAGTCAAAAATGGCTTCTTTTCACACACCACGAGGCACATTCCTCCTTTTTTTCTCTTATTTCTTAATCACGACTAATCTCTTAGTTTTCAACGGAATTTATACGTTAAACAACCTGAACTTTTTAAAAACGGAGCTCAAAATAAATTCTCTAGTTAAACAAAACTTATTAAATCATTAATAAACGTGAGCTTGCACGAATTTAGTCTCCTTAATTGACCATCCGGACGCCATATTTTCTTAGGAGTAAAACACTAACTAAAACTAATTCGTCATTCAGTAACATTCAATGTTAATTACTTTGTCAATTGAAGAATTAATTGACATTGACGCCATAAATTCTAAACAAAGTTTGTAATAATACTAAATATTAAATAATATTAAAGAAGAAGAATAAAAAAACAATCGGCAATTACGTTCCCTATACCCTTTCTTAAAAAAAAAAGGTACCTCCCCTGCACGGCATCCATTTTTGTGCTCCTAACTTCTTCTCCACGACCATCATGGTATATATCACAGTTTCCCTAATCCAAATGAACCATCTTTCTGCAACTCGTCGAGCTCCCGACTTCATCCATGTCGACAACGGCGCCAGCCATGAACCATAATGCCATCACTCTATCCGGCGCCATCATGGTAGCTGCCGTCGTCGTCGTCTTCTTACTATTCGTCTTCTTTCTCATTTTCTACATTCGATCAAACTTCCACCTCGGCATAGTCCGCACCCATGAAAACTCCAACACTCACTTCGCCGGCGGCAACCAGCCCTCTGTGTTCCGCCGCGCGCTCAGCCCCGCCGTGCTCAAGTCACTCCCGGTCGCCGTCTTCAGCGCTAAGGATTTCAAGGACGGGTTTGAGTGCGCCGTTTGCATCTCAGAGATAACTGACGGCGAGCTCTTCCGTTTGCTTCCCGGTTGCCGCCACGGTTTCCATCTGGACTGTATTGATTTGTGGTTTAGCTCGAATTCTACCTGTCCTGTATGCCGGAGCTCGGTTGAATTGCCAAAAAGGGTGAGTTTGAAGAATGTGGAGCAGACTTGCGATGTAAATACCAGACCTTTGCAAGTAGATTGTTCGGGAGAAGGAAGCTCTAGGAGGTCTAGTGGCTTGCAGGTAAAGGTATTGATGCCGATAAATGAGATGGAAAGTTCTTCTTTGTCGTTGCAATCGAGTGGGATTCCGGCGGTGGTGGGTGAAGAACACAGAGGATGGGAGGTTGGGGGCCGGCCGCCGCCGGTGGCGGTGGTGGGGGCTTCGGCGGCTAGAGTTGAAGGAGAAAAACAGGGGAGTTCATCAAGTTAGAATTTTGTTTTGAGATACCGAAACTTTCAAAGATGGCTGAAATGGATTTGAAGAAAGTAATGAGTCAATTCATGTAAATATGGAAAGAAAGTGATTTTTAGCTCCACTCAGTAGTGGCATTGATTATTGAAAACAAAATAAAGAATTACAAAAATCCTTTTTTTTTTTTATTTTGAGGTAATTGAGCCAATTTCAACTTTACAATTACAGGCTATTGTAATAAATGTCATTGAAAGTGGAGTTATCTTAGATCAAAGATCTATTAGCCATTTATAACTTGAGAATAATTATACATCTTGATGAGCCAAAGTAGGTCTAAGTAGACGAGACTCATATTGCCTCGGTAATAAGACCTCGTTGCATTGTGGTTGAAATCAATGTCTGAGGACTACTAAGTTAGAGGGAATTGTGACTATTTTGGTTCGTGAGAAAAGCTTTTAACCATTTAAGATTTTGGCTTAAGGTCTAAATAATCATGAGAGATATATATTTCAATTTAGAGAAGAAAGAGGATAGTAATTTATAAAAGGAGAGATTATAATGGTTAGATAATTAATACATAAATCCCTTATGGCAAAGAAGAGGAGCTTTCATTATTTATTTATCTGTTACCCATACTTTCCTAAAAAGTCATTTTGATCTGCATAAACCTTGATACCTATTATGATCCAATGCTTCCAAAATCAAATTTGGAAGTGTCTGCACTCTGATTTATGATCAAGCGAATGGTTTCAAGGAGACGGAACAAACGACATAAAAAATGATCTGACCCGAGTTTGAGTGGGCTTATACCATGTGTTAAGTATTGGAGCCCGATCTACGCCAATCCCGCTCCTGCATTGCTTGATCGCGAATCGGCGCGATCTTGATCCCGCTTCCGCCTCCCTTTCGCGAAAGCCCGCGACCGCTCCTGCTCGCCTTTAGTTCGCGAACTGTTCTAGCTCCCGTTTCAGGAATAGTCGCGACGTCTCCTTCATGTTTGTGATAAAAGCTTTGGATGGCTCTCCTTATGTTTTTAGAAGTCACGGTTGGTGTTTCTTCTTTGGGTTTCCTCGGGATAGAGGAAGAGTTCTTCTGGTTTCCATGGGACAATGGAAGCGAAGTGTAAGGAGAAGTAGTTCCTTGTGGTAGAAGAAGAAGAAAATTGTTCTCCATAGGCTTCTTCTTGGTGACTTGTGGCAGAAGAGAAATTAGTTTTATTTCTCTTGTAAGTTTATCTTCTTCGATGCATCTCGGTGTATCTCGGTGTAAAGTTTCTTCGGTGTATCTCGGTGTAGAGAGAGAAGAAGAGAGATCAACGAATTGAGAGTGAAAGATTCTTCTCGTATGTCGAGGTGATCAATTGGTGTAAATTCCTCAAGTAGTAAAATCCTCTGCAAATCCGTGGACGCAGGCAATTTGCCAAACCACATAAATTTGTGTGTTTTGTTGTGTGTTCTTTTCTGGTGTGAATTTTTCTCGTTCTATTTTTGTTTCGTCGATCGTTCTCTTGTTTGATCTATAGATCTCGCAACAACAACTGATATCAGAGTTTTGTTCGGATCTGAGGAAGAATGATGGCTACAGATGACGTGAAGGTTTCAAGGATCGAGAAATTTAATGGCATGGATTTTGGTTATTGGAGAATGCAGATAGAGGATTATCTTTTTGGGAAGAAAATTCATCTTCCGTTATTGGGGAACAGATCTGAGAGGATGGATGAAGCTGAATGGAATTTGTTGGATCGACAAGTTTTGGGGGTTATTCGATTAACCATATCGAGGTCCATATCGAGGTCCGTTTCCGTTGCACACATCGTCGTCAAGAAAAAGACAATTGTAGATCTCATGACAGCCTTATCAGGTATACATGAAAGTCATCGGCGAATAACAAGGTGCACTTGATGAAAAAGTTATTCAATTTGAAGATGGCGGAAGGTGTTTCTGTTGTTCAACACCTGAATGATTTCAATACTATCACAAATCTATTGTCGTCTATGGAAATTGATTTTAATGATGAGATATGTGCACTGATCTTGTTGGCTTCATTTTTAGATAGTTGTTGTTGGCCATGAGGATAGCTGTTAGTTGTTCTGCAGGTAAATCTAAACTGAAATACGATGATATTCGGTCTGCAGGTTGGCTGAGGAAGTTCGCAAGAAAGATTCTGGCGAGGTCTCAGGTTCGAGTTCGACATTGAATGTTGATTTCAGAGAGAGATGACATGAGAGATGACATGATAGGGACATGATAGGAACTCAAGTGTAGGGAGATTAAAATTAAATTTTAGTAAGCAGGCAACCTGTTGGAATTGTGGCAATGCTGGTCACATAAGGAGGAATTGCAGGAATCCTAAGAAGATGGAGAATGATAGCGCAAATGTGGTATCTGAAGAATCACAGGAAGCACTATTGTTGGTAGTTCATAGTTCTGTTGAAGACTTGATATTGGATTCAGGGGCTTTGAATGTGGTAGGAAATCTACCAGAGGCCACAGTGCGGGGCAGTGATGAAAGTGAAGAGGAAAGTGGGCCGGGGCACCCATTTCTATTGTTCCACAGACAGATGTTGAAGATCCACAGAGCTATGAAGAAATCTTGCAACATGAAAGTTTGAGCAAGTGGAAGCTGACAGAACTTCCACCAGGGAATAAAGCATTGCACAACTAGTGGGTGTGCAAGGTGAAGACTGAGCGTGATGTCAGTAAGAGGTACAAGGCTAGACTTATTGAAAAAGGCTTTCATCAGAGGCAGGATGTTGCCCATGCAGTGGGAGTTATAAGAAGAGACAAGAGTGACCCAGGAAATAGTTTGGAGGTGCAAAACTATGTGGAGTGTGCTGGTATGTTGACTGAGGGTGTTATTCTTGAGAAACCGAAGTTGTGCACAGCTTCAGTTGGTCTTCGGGAGTGAAGACGGGGCATTGAGTTGCAGAGGTGGAGGATTCAAGTTGAAGGATATCAATTTGAGGAAGAAGACGTTGTAGCAGGTGTATCGGTATCCAAGTGGGAGATTGTTAAGTGTTGGAGCCCGATCTACGCCAATCCCACTCCCACACTGCTCGATCGGAATCGGTTTGATCTCAATCTCGCTCCCGCCTCCCTTTCGCGAAAGCCCGCGACCGCTTTCGCTCGCCTTCATTTTAATAACTGTTCCAGCTCCCGTTTAGCAAATGGTCGGAATGTCTCCTTCATGTTCGTGATAAAAGCTTTAGATGGCTCTCCTTATGCTTTTGTCGGCACTATTTTTGGTGTGGAGTTTG